AAGACAGGGCACTGTCCCCACAATGGCTCCCCAACACTGGGGCCCAGAGGCGAGAGGTAGCCAGAGTATGCGACGTTTAGTGTCCTCTCACTCCTGCTCCTTCCTCGCGCCTCCTCCATTCAGGTCCTTCCTCCACCCCCTCACAGCTTATCTCTGATAGACGCATAATAAATAAGACATTTGCACGTTAAGGGTGATCAGGTCAGTTCTCTCCCGCCCCTCCCCCTTCATATAAAAGCATTAAATACAGTTTCAAAATAAAATACAAAGAGCAAAAAAGGGCCTGATCTCGGGGCCGCCTGTTCTCCACGGGAGAATGAATCTACACATCCCTCTCGGACCTGCCTGGGAGGTCGCGGGGCCCCTTCCCCGTCCCACAGGGCCTGGCGCGGCCGCAGAGGAGAGAAGGGGAGGCCGAGAGGCCCCGCCCCCCTGCCCTGGGAGCTGAGAAAGGGTGGCTCGTCCATCGAGGACAAAGGGGCGGAGGGAGGAGCGGGAATATAGGCCAATCGCCGGGACCGCCTGTGCCCCAACTCGGACAGGCCGAGTGCACGACTCAGGGTAAACGGAGTCTCTCGGGGCAAAGAGAGGAGCCAAGGAAAAAAGTGCTAATCCCTTTACCCGTCCCCGGTCCCCGGGCGGGCGGGCGGGGCAGCAACCGGAGGGGCGGAGCCGCGGGGCGGGCGCAGCCGGCCAGGCCCCGCCCCTGCCGAGGTTCCCCGAGAGTGGTCCGGGCCTCCGAGAGGCCGAGGATACCAGTAAGGGCAGGGCAGGACAGGGCAGGGCAGCGCGGGGCAGCGCGGGGCAGGGCCGGGCAGGGCCGGGCGGCGGCAGCAGCCCAACCAGGAGCTGCGCCTGCAGGCGGACAAGGCCACCGAGACCTGGGACCCCGGCCAGGACGAGGAGCTGGCGCGTCCTTCCTGCCCTCCCCGCGTCCCCTTTTTCGATCCTAATACTGACAGCGCCCTCTTCCCGTCCCGGCGGAGGAGCGCCTGTGGGCGCGGCCGGGGCTGGAAGCGCTCGTTGCTAGCACTTAAGAGGCCGCTGGGGCTCGAGCCGGTGGGAAAGCGTGAGGCCCTGCAAAGGGCCGGGGCTCCGCGCCGAGGGCGCCGCCCAAAGGGCACACCTGCCGGCTGGGACACCGAAGTAGCTTAAGTCCTGTCCCCAAGACCCGCCCGGCCCGGCCCGGCCCGGCCAGCGGGGGGCGCGGCAGCTGCGGAGGGCCCAGGAAGCACCAGCACCAGAGCGCCCCGCCCCGCTCGTCCCGCCCGGCCCGGCCCTGCTGAGTCGGCTACGCCCGGCACACGGCACCCGGCTTGAGGTCCGCGCCGCCGTCGCGAGGCGCCGGGGCGGGCGGGCCGAAGCCTTCGTGGCCATAGCAGCGCAGCGCCGCCTCCTCGTAGGCCTCCAGGATGGTCTGGCGCTCCTCGGGCGTGAAGTCCATGGAGAAGGGGTGCACCTGCAGGATGTGCCGCTTGATGGTGCTCACCTTGAGCGTGGCCAGCGCGCCCCCGCACACCATGCACACCAGGCCGCGCCGGCTGCCGTCGTAGTCCATCAGGTACTCGCCCCGCCAGCGCGGCTGGTAGTTCCGCCGCTGC